CACCCACCCACTCACCCACTCACTCACTCACCCACTCACTCACCCACTCACCCACTCACTCACCCACCCACTCACCCACTCACTCACTCACTCACCCACCCACTCACTCACCCACCCACTCACTCACTCACCCACCCACTCACCCACTCACTCACTCACCCACTCACTCCCCCACCCACTCACCCACCCACTCACCCACTCACCCACTCACTCACTCACCCACCCACTCACTCACCCACTCACTCACCCACCCACTCACTCACTCACTCACCCACCCACCCACCCACCCACTCACTCACTCACTCACCCACTCACTCACTCACTCACCACCCACTCACTCACTCACTCACCCACCCACCCACTCACTCACCCACTCACACACTCACCCACCCACCCACTCACCCACCCACCCACTCACTCACCCACTCACCCACTCACTCACACACTCACCCACCCACCCACTCACCCACTCACTCACCCACTCACTCACTCACCCACTCACACACTCACCCACCCACCACTCACCCACCCACCCACCCCACTCACCCCACTCACCCCACCACCCACCCACTCACTCACCCACCCACTCACTTACTCACTCACCCACCCACTCACTCACCCACCCACTCACTCACTCACTCACCCACTCACTCACTCACCCACTCACTCACTCACCCACTCACCCACCCACCCACCCACTCACCCACCCACCCACTCACCCACTCACTCACCCACTCACTCACTCACTCACCCACCCACTCACTCACTCACTCACCCACCCACCCACTCACTCACCCACTCACACACTCACCCACCCACTCACTCACCCACCCACTCACTCACCCACTCACCCACTCACTCACCCACTCACACACTCACCCACTCACTCACCCACTCACTCACTCACTCACCCACCCACCCACCCACTCACTCACCCACTCACTCACCCACTCACTCACTCACCCACTCACTCACTCACCCACTCACCCACTCACTCACTCACTCACCCACCCACTCACTCACCCACCCACCCACTCACTCACTCACCCACTCACCCACTCACTCACTCCACTCACCCACCCACTCACTCACTCACCCACCCACCCACCCACCCACCCACTCACTCACCCACTCACACACTCACCCACCCACTCACTCACCCACTCACTCACCCACCCACTCACCCACCCACTCACCCACTCACCCACTCACCCACTCACTCACTCACCCACCCACTCACTCACCCACCCACCCACTCACTCACCCACCCACTCACTCACCCACCCACCCACCCACTCACTCACCCACTCACCCACTCACCCACCCACTCACTCACCCACCCACTCACTCACCCACCCACCCACCCACCCACTCACCCACCCACTCACCCACTCACTCACCCACTCACTCACTCACCCACCCACTCACTCACCCACCCACCCACCCACTCACTCACCCACTCACTCACTCACCCACCCACTCACTCACCCACCCACTCACTCACCCACTCACCCACTCACTCACCACTCACACACTCACCACCCACCCACCCACTCACTCACCACCACTCACTCACTCACCCACTCACTCACTCACTCACCCACTCACTCACTCACCCACTCACCCACCCACCCACGCTTCGTGTCTCATCCCCGGCAGCCGTGCGCTCACCTTCAGAAAGTCGCCGACGCTGCGAAAGTCTTGGAGCCGCGGCAAGCAGACGCCGACACATTCGCCGGTTCTCTCGGCGCAACCGCATTTGAAGTACGACAGGTCTTCCACCGCCTGTAGCACCACCACCACCACCGTCACCACCGTCATTGTCACCACCACCAACACCACCACCACCACCGTCATTGTTACCACCACAATCATTGTCACCACCAACACCACCACCACCACCGTAACCACCGTCATTGTTACCACCACAATCATTGTCACCACCACCACCAACACCACCACCGTCACCACCTTCATTGTTACCACCACAATCATTGTCACCACCACCACCACCGTCACCGTCATTGTTACCCCCACAATCATTGTCACCACCACCACCGTCACCACCACCGTCACCGTCATTGTTACCACCACAATCATTGTCACCACCATCACCACCACCGTCACCACCGTCACCATCATTGTTACCACCACAATCATTGTCACCACCAACACCACCACCACCACCACCGTCATTGTTACCCCCCACAATCATTGTCACCACCACCACCACCACCACCGTCATTGTTACCACCACAATCATTGTCACCACCACCACCACCAACACCACCACCACCACCACCACCGTCACCACCACCACCACCACCGTCATTGTTACCACCACAATCATTGTCACCACCAACACCACCACCGTCACCGTCATTGTTACCACCACAATCATTGTCACCACCAACACCACCACCACCACCACCGTCACCACCGTCATTGTTACCACCACAATCATTGTCACCACCAACACCACCGTCACCGTCATTGTTACCACCACAATCATTGTCACCACCAACACCACCACCACCGTCACCGTCATTGTTACCACCACAATCATTGTCACCACGAACACCACCACCACCACCACCGTCACCACCGTCATTGTTACCACCACAATCATTGTCACCACCACCAACACCACCACCACCACCGTCACCACCGTCATTGTTACCACCACAATCATTGTCACCACCACCACCACCGTCATTGTTACCACCACAATCATTGTCACCACCACCACCACCACCGTCACCGTCATTGTTACCACCACAATCATTGTCACCACCACCACCACCGTCACCGTCATTGTTACCACCACAATCATTGTCACCACCAACACCATCGTCATGTCACTGCCAATCGCCATTCGCCAATAAGTGGCGGTGACGTCACCACGACGGAGCTTGTGCCAGGCTGTGTGCACGTGAAGCGTCGGCAGAAGGTCACGGGGCAGACCCAGCAGGTGCCACGGGTCGACTGACCGAGATGACCGAGATGACTGGCTGATGCACCACCTGTGCCCCCTACTGTGCCAACTTGCTGTGCTTTAGCCACCCGGCGCTCCGCTCGTTGTTGTGAGCGTCGCTCCTCCGCCCTCCGTTGTTGTTGGAGGGCGACTGCCTCCGACTGCCCAGTAGCGTCCTTCACGAGCCTCCTCCACAGAGGCCGATCTTGACACCGCTGGTACCGGTCATCGGCAAGTCCACTCAGCTCCACGTCCTCCTGTACCACATCACTTCATCTCTTCTCTAGCCCGTGCCGCGCCCTTTAAGCACCCCCGATCCGTTCGAACCTCCTTTGCCAGTAGCAAAATATAATTGTTTTTTTACCATTTTATCTGGCAACTGGCAAATGAGGTTGCAATGGTGTAAATGCTTACCCCGAGCTCTGATACTCTGATGGTGCATTGTCTTTGAGTTGTGCGCCTTTTGGCGTCGTCTGGTCCAACACCATGTGAGACTAGGCTCTAAGAAAAGCTGTCTTGGGTGTGGACACAAATCAATGTCAAGGACAGTGCATACATTATCAGAGTTGTGGTTTTTGTTTGCATTCCGACCGCAGGTATTGTGGTCCATGCAAACATGACTCCTTGTAAAAAAGGTGTCAGTTTTGTTTCCAGATAAAAGGGTAAAATAAATAAATTATCACCCTCTATCCGGCCAAACCAAAGCGGTTATAGGCATGCAGTGGCTGGGCATGTGGGCTACATGGCCCAGCCAACGCAGCCTTGCCTGCCGGAGGAGCTCAATGGGACTTTGTCAAGATCTTTCAAGGATTTGTGAGCTCCTCACACAATCCAGCCTGTTGGTTAAACTCAGAATGGATTGGAGGCAGGCCAGCCTGAAATATTTCTAAGCAGATAGGGGTGTGGGGGGGGGGGTCCATGTTTTGCAAGCGTAGAGGGCATGACCATGGCCAAGAAGACCCGAAGCTTTGTGTGGAGCAACAGACCAGGTAGCTTCCGCAAAGCATGGTGCAGTCGATGCAAAGATAATGCCACTCGATTGATTGAGAACTCTTCTGCCACAGAGCTGGTCATAGGCACACTGCCCAGCTACGGGAAACTCTCCACAACTGCCCCATCACCAATTGAGAGTTGTGGAGTGTCCGATGGTACAAAATACCCAGGCGGGTGCTTAGTTTTGGTGGGGCTGTAAGGGGGAGGCAAGGCCCCACCCTCTCAGTGGCACGCTCCAGTTTCAGCCAGCAGCATAAACGTGGTTGAGCAATACGGAGCCATCCCTTGACCGCACCCCGGGCAGGTGGCAAGATGCAGCAGCAGAACTGCTGAACAATACAACCCCTAAATTTCGATTTAAAGCTTCTTTCGTGACTGCAGGGATTCATCTTCTTGGTTATTTCGGTAAAGTCGTCACGTAGAAGGGAAATAATAAAATAATACAAATAAAACACAATAAAATAATTCTCACGACGTTTCGGCCACAACGCAAGCAGCCGTCCTCAGGTGGAGAACAGGTCTGTCGGTAAAGTTACGAAGAATGGAAGTAATAAAATAATACAAATAAAACACAATAAAATAATTCTCACGACGTTTCGGCCACAACGCAAGCAGCATAAACACAATAAATAATCTCACGACGTTTCGGCCACAACGCAAGCAGCCGTCCTCAGGTGGAGAACAGGTCTGTCGGTAAAGTTACGAAGAATGGAAGTAATAAAATAATACAAATAAAACACAATAAAATAATTCTCACGGACGTTTCGGCCACAACGCAAGCAGCCGTCCTCAGGTGAAACCGGGTCTGTCGAGGCGACAGCGTCTGAAATACAACCCCTAGACAACTAAGCCCAACTATATACATGTGCAGCATTTCACAAAGGGGGTGATGTAATGAAGAGCCTACGTCGGATTCACGTGGCGATCGGCTTTGCCGGTCCCGCTCTACAGCCAATGGGGGGAGAGCCTGGGAGCATGGCCCCGGCGTGATCACGGGATGTCAGCCAGGTGATTGGTTCTGCTGGTCTTGGCCTCAGCCAATGGGAAGACAAGTCGGGGCCTGGTCCCGGTAGTTGATGGGGAATCTAGGTGATTGGTTCTGCTGGTCTTGGCCTCAGCCAATGGGAAGACAAGTCAGGGACGTGGTCCCGGGAGTTGATGGGGAATCTCGGTGATTGGTTCTGCTGGTCTTGGCCTCAGCCAATGGGAAGACAAGTCAGGGGCCTGGTCCCGGGAGTTGATGGGGGGGATCTGGAACATTCGGCGCAGGCTGTTGAGGATTGGCTGGAGGGTACCACGTGACCCAGGCGTTAAATAAGGGGAGAGACACGGGGTCAGACACGGAACTAAGAGAGGGAGAGAGAGGGGCCACGCGCGAGTGGGGCTCCAGGTGCCACGTGGCGGTGGGTCTCTGGTGTCTGTCTGCCCGCTTCCCGTTGCCTGCCAGCAACGGGGAGTGTTTGTGAGCTGCAAGAAGTGAAATAAAAGGACCGATTCCACAAGCCGTCTCCAGCGTGTTATTACAAAACGATACTTTTTCCCGTAACAGGACCCTGCGGGGTGGGCTGGTAGGAACGAGTAACCAAAAAATATAAACATAATGTATTATTACACTTGTTTAGCCAGGAAAGCCCCACTGAGTCTAAAGGTTTTTGTAGGGTCCTGCCAAGTGTTTGCAGTAGGGGGCGATGTTGCTACACCTAATCGGACGATACGAAGGGAGAGTTTGAGGCCTACTTCTAGGCTTTAGGCCTAGCTGTAGGCTTTAGGCCGCTGTGAGTTAATTTTAAATTTAAATGTTTTAATTGTTAATGTAAAAGCTTTAAATGTAAATGTTTCTATTTAAAAACATCAGGGAATGTAACATTGTGAAACATTAACTCCCTTTCACACACGCGGGGGTACGATACGAAGGGAGAGTTTGAGGCCTAGTTCTAGGCTTTAGGCCTAGCTGTAGGCTTTAGGCCGCTGTGAGTTAATTTTCCCATAAAAAAAACATTCCTCACGACAATCCCTACCGCCCGCTCGCTCACCCGCCGGCCCGCTTCGTTGTTGTGCAGTTCCATCAGGAGGAACTTCGACAAAGACTTGCGTCGCCCTCCTTGCCTCCAGCGGTCTTTGACGCCCGCGTCCAAGAACAACTTGGCAAAATGGCGTCCGTATTTGACGTTGTCTCCGGGAAGCAACCAGGGTTGGTAGGTCCACGTGCAGTTTTGCCGGATCACCTCTGACGTGTTGCAGGCGCGCGCCACGGCGTGCACCACGCCGGCGGCGGTGAGGGCGGAGAAGAAGGCGGCCTCGCGAGAGCCTGGGCCCCCCCACCCCCCCCACCCACAAAACAATTTGATCATTTGTCTATAATGGAGGTTGTTTGTTTTTCTGGCGTAGATCGCCGAAATAGAAACGTCACCTCAACAACTCTTGGAACCTCCCAGTTCAACCAGTCTACACAACAAAGACTCATTCTTAGCAACGATTTCAGCCGCACCACCTCTACATAACAAAAGGCGCAGTCCCATTTACACGCATCTTTACATCAGCCGCACCTTAACAACTCTTGAAACCTCCCGGTTCAACCAGTCTACACAACAAAGACTCATTCCTAGCAACGATTTCAGCCGCACCACCTCTACATAACAAAAGGCTCAGTCCCATTCACAGCAGCCGCACCTTTACATCAGCCGCACCTTAACAACTCTTGGAACCTCCCAGTTCAACCATTCTACACAACAAAGACTCATTTTTGGCAACGATTTCAGCCGCACCACTTCTACATAACAAAAGGCTCAGTCCCATTTAGACGCACCTTTAAAATCATCCGCACCTTAGTTTACACAACAAAGGCTCATTCCTAACAGCGTGCTTCAGCCGCACCGAACCCCACAACAATAATATTCAGGGCCTACCCTTAGCTCCTCCCACCCTCAACCAGTATATATATACAAGGACTGTTTTCTTGGAATTTCCCTCACTTGATACAGCTGTCGTGCTGTGACGGTTCCACCTGAACCTAACCCAAACCTAGATTTGAAGCTTTCGTGACTGCAAGGATTCATATTCTTAGTTTTTTCGGTAAAGTCACTGTGTAGGTAAAACATTAAAATTAGTAAAAGTAAAATAAAAATCACGACGTTTCGGAGGCAACACAAGTCTCCGTCATCAGGTGGGACCGTCACAGCCAGATTTGCTGCATCAAGTGAGGCAATCTTGAATCTTTGCCTCACTTGATGCAGCAAATCTGGCTGTGACGGTCCCACCTGATGACGGAGACTTGTGTTGCCTCCGAAACGTCGTGATGTTTATTTTATTTTACTTTTATTAATTTTAATGTTTTACCTACACGGTGACTTTACCGAAAAAAACCTAAGAATACTAACCCTAAGCCTAACGCGCTCGTTACCCTGGTACAGCACTGACCTGTTGCCGTGTGTTGGAAAGTAAATTCTCCGCCACATTTACAACGCGGGTATCGCGATCTTTCGCCGAGGGGACAACCGCCGTCACGGGCGATAGCCAAAATTGGCCACATTCTATTTAAGCGACACTCTAAACCAAACTGAATTGGCCGTGTCGGATGGTGGCGGGTAGACACCGCAGCATTCACGTTGATGCGATCTAACACAAAACCTTGATGATGAGCAAGCACCTTGTGAGACACAAGACACGGCTTCATACCTGGGGACTGCCTGGGCCACACTTGGGCAGGGTGACCAACCCCGACTTGAAGGGGTCACCGTCAAACAGACGCGGTCACCCCGTTGCGTGCTTTCAGGATACATTACACTACGCACCGCACACTGATACACTACTGTAGTGTGTAGTACACTACGCACCGCACACTGCTACACTACTGTAGTGTGTAGTACACTACGCACCGCACACTGCTACACTACTGTAGTGTGCAGTACACTACGCACCGCACACTAACACCGCACACTACTACACCACTGTAGTGTGTGGTACATAGTGTAGTAGTACACACTGTGTACTACACACTACAGCAGTATAGTAGTGTGCAGTACACAGTGTATAGTACACTACGCACCGCACACTACTACGCTACTCTAGTGTGTGGTACATAGTGTAGTACACACTATGTACTACACACTACAGCAGTATAGTAGTGTGCAGTACACAGTGTGTACTACACACTACTACGCTACTGTAGTGTGTAGTACACACTGTGTACTACACACTACAGCAGTATAGTAGTGTGCAGTACACAGTGTGTAGTACACTGCGCACCGCACAATACTACACTACTGTAGTGTGTAGTACACTACACACCGCACACTGCCACGCTACTCTAGTGACGTAGAACGGCTCGCTACGGCGCCAAGCGCCCGTCACTCAAACCCGCCCGTCACCGGCAGAGGCTCGAAGCCGCCTCTCACCCGGGCGACGATCTCCTTACCCGACCGAGCCAAAGGGACCAGCCCGTCCTCCGTGCACTCTCACCCGGGCGACGATCTCCTTACCCGACCGAGCCAAAGGGACCAGCCCGTCCTCCGTGCACTCTCACCCGGGCGACGATCTCCTTACCTGCCCGAGCCAAAGGGACCAGCCCGTCCTCCGTGCACGGCGCCTTGCGCTTGCGCTTCGCCTGGAACTGGTGCCGATACTCGGCGATCGCCAGCCGCGCGCCGTCCACCACGAGCTTCATGAAGTGCGGCTGCTGCCGGCAGACGTGGCGCTGTGCGGGGGACAGCCCCGGGGCCACGCTGCACAGCAGCAGCGGACGCTGCGAGGGGTCCACTGCCGGGGGGACCCACATTGCCAGCGACCTGCAGAGGAGGGGTGGGAGGTGGGGAGGGTCACGGTGGCTAGGAGATGTTGACTACCTCGCCTGGTACGCAGGAGGTCGTGGGTTCGATCCAAACCCTGACGCCTGCTGCTGCTGCTGTATATTTGGAGTCTGTGTGTCTCTCTCTCATCATCGTCACGGTGGCTAGGGGATGTTAACTCTCTTGTCTGGTACGCAGGAAGTCGTGGGTTCTATCCAGACCCTGATACCTGCTGTATATTTGGAGTCTGTGTGTCTTTCTCTCTCATCATCACGGTGGCTAGGAGATGTTAACTACCTCGCCTGGTACGCAGGAGGTCGTGGGTTCTATCCAAACCCTGACGCCTGCTGCTGTATATTTGGAGTTTGCGCGTCTCTCTCTCTCTCATCATCACGGTGGCTAGGGGATGTTGACTACCTCGCCTGGTGTACAGGAGGTCGTGGGTTCGATCCCAACCCTGACGCCTGCTGCTGTATATTTGGAGTTTGCGTCTCTCTCTCATCATCGTGGTGGCTATGAGATGTTGACTACCTCGCCTGGTACGCAGGAGGTCGTGGGTTCGATCCCAACCCTGACGCCTGCTGCTGTATATTTGGAGTTTGCGTCTCTCTCTCATCATCGTGGTGGCTAGATACATTTTTAATGACAACATTTATACATTTACGCGATCTAACCCCCCCCCGCAAAAAAACTCTTGTGGATGATATTGGTCACGAAAGCCCTGCCCGCTACCAGGTGTACGGGGGGCGTGTGTGTGCAAGACGTTAGGTAAGGTTGCTCATAAATAAATAAACTCAGAAACGTGTCGCGCTCATCGCAGCAGCGGAGGATTGACGAGGAAGAGAGCGGCGCTGACCACCAGGCGGCGCTGGCGACTGCCCCCAGCTGTGCGAAGGCGCAGAGTCCCAGCAGCAGCAGCAGCAGCGGCGGGGAGACGGAACCCATCGGAGTTCTCACGGCCAGCGACTCTGTGCAGGAGAAGCGGAGCGGGGGTGACGATGTCAACACACCTCGCACGGTACGCAAGAGGTCGTGGGTTCCATCCCGACGATGCCCGCTGCTGCTGCTGCTGTATATTGTGAGTTGTCATGTCTCACTCATCATCATCGTCATCATCACGGTGGCTGGGAGATGTTAACTTCCTCACCTGGTACGAGGGATTGAACCCACGACTGCTTGAGTACCGGGCGAGGGAGTCAACATCTCACCACCGTGGTCGTGATGAACTCCGACTGCTGATGTCTGTAGCCGACCGACCTTATAACCAGATAAATCCCTGCAGTCACGAAAGCTTTAAATAAAACAATTCTCAATTTAAATTTACGCATTTTGATGTCACGTCACATTTCTCAACCCCAACCCCACCGTCACAAATGTCTGACCCCCCCCCAGGTGCGTGACGTCATTTATGGACGGCCCCAAAGACCCCGCGCCACAACCAAGAGCAGAACATCTGTGGAGATAATTCAGTGACGAAAACATGTTTTATTGTTGTCCCTGGGTAGTAAAGTGTCATTACCTAATAACCCACTCCACTAACAACAGTGTGACAACAACATTGACCCTTAGTGGTAGAGTGAGGTCCCTGGGTAGTAAAGTGTCATTACCTAATAACCCACTCCACTAACAACAGTGTGACAACAACATTGACCCTTAGTGGTAGAGTGTTACTGCCTAATAGCTAGTGCCTCACAAGTAGAGAAAGGGGCTCTTAATACTCCACACAAACTTTGTATTTGTGACCCAGCACACACAAGCTGAGTGAACAATCCACTCCATTAACAACAGTGTGACAATAACATTGACCCTTAGTGGTAGAGTGTTACTGCCTAATAGCTAGTGACTCACTAGTAGAGAAAGTGGGATATTAAGCTCCACAAATTCTAGATTTGAAGCTTTCGTGAGTATAAGGATTCATAATCTGAGGTTAAAATCACGTAGGGAGAAATAAATATTAAAATAAATTTAAAATAAATAAAAAATATATAAATTCTCCCCAAAAACTTTGCTTCTGTGACCCAGGACATTAATATTTATACATTTAACAATTTTAAATAAAAAAAAGACGCGGCGTGCATTTGTCTCATCCCTTCACGTAAAGTCCTGCTCACAAAAGCAAAGTTTGTATGGAATAATAATAATATCCATTAAATCTAATTTGTAGGCAATTTTACAACAACACGCAGCAACACTTGACTACGCAAGGCCAGACCTCGCGTCAGCTCGTGTGTTCTCGTTGTTGTTGAACCAATAAATATAGTTTAGATATGCAAGGAGACCCATGCACTGTATAGGTAAACCCACTCAAATAAACTCCTTTAAAAAATTGTAAAAAAAAATTAAAATTACATTTTTTTAATAAAAAAATTTTTTTAATAAATTTTTTTATTATTTTTTTTACATTTTTTTATTGAAAGGTGGAAGTGGACGACGTTTCGACCACGAGCCTTGAGCGCGACACACAAGAGAGGAGAGGAATGAAGTTGAATAATAAAACTTTTACTTTCGACACTTGAGCTCCACGCTCACCGCGTGTTGACAAGTTCCCGCGTCAGTGGCGCCTGCTTCGTGCGCAAGGCGATTCCAGAGTTTAGGGACCGCGGCGTTCTTGATTCTCTCAAAGCAATATTTAAATAATAAGACGTCCATTAAAAAAATGTCATTGCTTTTAAAGAGACGCTCAATTGATTGACGCCGATTTTTATTGATTGCTTTATTAATTAATCTTTAATGTACTTATTTTTTTATTTCGAGTGATGCTCCACACGAAGCAGACACGCCTGAGGCACCCGGCGCCTGATTGGTGTGTGAGCCGATTCCACAGTTTAGGGACCGCGGCGTTTTTCACCTTACACAACAATTAACACGCCAATTTTAACACAGTGTGCAAAATGTTTAATTGATTAGACACCAGGAAGTAGACTAAACATTTTATTACAAGATATTAGCCACGACTAACAGAGGAATATCACGTGAAGTGAAAGCGTTGATAAATATAAAGGGGCAGAAATTACTCCATCGAGTAAACAACATTTTAATTCAAACCCAGTACACATGCAACGTTGAGCCAATTTGGTCAACATAGGTGTTCACACACAGTGTGGTTAACATATGTGTTCACACACAGACACCCACAGAGACCCATAGAGACCCACAGAGACCCACAGAGACACACAGAGACCCATAGAGACCCATAGAGACCCACAGAGACACACAGACACCCAAAGAGACACACAGAGACCCAAAGAGACCCATGGAGACACAGAGACCCACAGAGACACACAGACACCCACAGAGACCCATAGAGACCCATAGAGACCCACAGAGACACACAGAGACACACAGAGACCCATAGAGACCCACAGAGACCCACAGAGACACACAGAGACACACAGAGACACACAGAGACCCATAGAGACCCATAGAGACCCACAGAGACACACAGACACCCAAAGAGACACACAGAGACCCAAAGAGACCCATAGAGACACACAGAGACCCACAGAGACACACAGAGACACACAGAGACCCATAGAGACCCATAGAGACACACAGAGACCCACAGAGACCCACAGAGACACACATACACCCATAGAGACACAGAGACCCACAGACACCCATAGAGACTCACAGAGACACACATACACCCATAGAGACACACAGACACACACAGACACCTATACAAACACACAGAGACACACAGAGACCCATAGAGACACACAGACACACAGAGACACACAGAGACCCACAGAGACCCATAAAGACCCACAGAGACACACAGAGACCCACAGAGACACACGGAGACCCATAGAGACCCACAGAGACACGCAGAGACCCATAAAGACCCACAGAGACACACAGAGACCCACCGAGACACACAGAGACCCATAGAGACCCACAAAGACCCACAGACACCCATAGAGACTCACAGAGACCCACAGACACCCATAGAGACTCACAGAGACACACATACACCCATAGAGACACACAGACACACACAGACACATATAGAGACTCACAGAGACACACAGAGACCCACAGAGACCCATAGAGACCCACAAAGACCCACAGACACCCATAGAGACTCACAGAGACACACATACACCCATAGAGACTCACAGAGACCCACAGACACCCATAGAGACTCACAGAGACACACATACACCCATAGAGACACACAGACACACACAGACACCTATAGAGACTCACAGAGACACACAGAGACACACAGAGACCCACAGAGACACACAGAGACCCACAGAGACCCACAAAGACCCACAGACACCCATAGAGACTCACAGAGACACACATACACCCATAGAGACTCACAGAGACCCACAGACACCCATAGAGACTCACAGAGACACACATACACCCATAGAGACACACAGACACACACAGACACCTATAAAGACTCACAGAGACACACAGAGACACACAGAGACCCACAAAGACCCACAGACACCCATAGAGACTCACAGAGACACACATACACCCATAGAGACTCACAGAGACCCGCAGACACCCATAGAGACTCACAGAGACACACACAGACACCCACAGAGGCACACAGACACACACCTGCTGGGTCTGTCACGTGACCTCCTCCTCATGCACCTAGCCTGGCACAGCAGTACAACCCATGGCACCTGCTGGGTCTGTCACGTGACCTCCTCCTCATGCACCTAGCCTGGCACAGCAGTACAACCCATGGCACCTGCAGGGTCTGTCCCGTGACCACCTCCTCATGCACCTAGCCTGGCACAGCAGTACAACCCATGACACCTGCTGGGTCTGTCACGTGACCTCCTCCTCATGCACCTAACCTGGCACAGCAGTCAGCCCATGGCACCTGCTGGGTCTGTCACGTGACCTTCTCCTCATGCACCTAGCCTGGCACAGCAGCACAACCCACGGCACCTGTTGGGTCTGGCACGTGACCTCCTCCTCATGCACCTAGCCTGGCACAGCAGTACAACCCATGGCACCTGCTGGGTCTGTCACGTGACCTCCTCTTCATGCACCTAGCCTGGCACAGCAGTACAACCCGTGGCACCTGCTGGGTCTGTCACGTGACCTCCTCCTCATGCACCTAGCCTGGCACAGCAGTACAACCCATGGCACCTGCTGGGTCTGTCACGTGACCTCCTCCTCATGTACCTAGTCTGGCACAGCAGTACAACCCATGGCACCTGCAGGGTCTGTCACGTGACCTCCTCCTCATGCACCTAGCCTGGCACAGCAGTACAACCCATGGCACCTGCAGGGTCTGTCACGTGACCTCACACTCACAGGAGCTGTCAGGCTTTCACACACAGAGGGCTCGTTCACATCACAGCTGCTGAGTCAGGCTTTCTTCACACAGAGGGCTCGTTCACACTCACATCAGCTGAGTCATGCTTTCTTCACACAGAGGGCTCGTTCACTCTCACAGCTGCTGAGCCAGGCTTTCTTCACACAGAGGGCTCGTTCACACTCACAGCAGCTGAGTCTGGCTTTCTTCACACAGAGGGCTCGTTCACTCTCACAGCTGCTGAGTCAGGCTTTCTTCACACAGAGGGCTCGTTCACACTCACAGCAGCTGAGTCAGGCTTTCTTCACACAGAGGGCTCGTTCACACTCACAGCAGCTGAGTCTGGCTTTCTTCACACAGAGGGCTCGTTCACTCTCACAGCTGCTGAGTCAGGCTTTCTTCACACAGAGGGCTCGTTCACACTCACAGCTGCTGAGTCAGGCTTTCTTCACACAGAGGGCTCGTTCACACTCACAGCTGCTGAGTCAGCTTTCTTCACACAGAGGGCTCGTTCACTCTCACAGCTGCTGAGTCAGACTTTCTTCACACAGAGGGCTCGTTCACACTCACAGCAGCTGAGTCAGACTTTCTTCACACAGAGGGCTCGTTCACACTCACAGCAGCTGAGTCAGCTTTCTTCACACAGAGGGCTCGTTCACACTCACAGCTGCTGAGTCAGCTTTCTTCACACAGAGGGCTCGTTCACACTCACAGCTGCTGAGTCAGCTTTCTTCACACAGAGGGCTCGTTCACACTCACAGCTGCTGAGTCAGCTTTCTTCACACAGAGGGCTCGTTCACACTCACAGCTGCTGAGTCAGGCTTTCTTCACACAGAGGGCTCGTTCACACTCACAGCTGCTGAGTCAGGCTTTCTTCACACAGAGGGCTCGTTCACACTCACAGCTGCTGAGTCAGGCTTTCTTCACACAGAGGGCTCGTTCACACTCACAGCTGCTGAGTCAGCTTTCTTCACACAGAGGGCTCGTTCACACTCACAGCAGCTGAGTCATGCTTTCTTCACACAGAGGGCTCGTTCACACTCACAGCTGCTGAGTCAGGC